CCCTCCTGCCCTCCTGCCCTCCTGCCCTCCTGCCCTCCTGCCCTCCTGCCCTCCTGCCCTCCCCTTAACATTATCTGCAGCTGATGGCCCAGATCCTTGTGACATGGTCAAGCAGCCCAGATACCGGAAAGGCCCTGATGTCTGCTTCGACAATAATGTCCTGGTAAGTCTGGGTAAATCTTCCTAAATTAGGGCATCACACAACATAACTTAAAACCTGCAGTGTTAATCCCAACACCCTGTTTTTCGTTAATATTAAAGAGTGCTTGCCAATATTTTGTATCATTTCAACTTTATTTTGCTGCGTCTTCTTAGTCTTTGAATCCTGAAAAGTTAGTTTAATGCATAGAAATATTATTTGTCTAAGGTATCTGATTCTATCTTCTATCAAATTTAGTCATCTTATCGTGCAACCTTTCTTGCTATATTTTTTACCTTAACTAGGTAATATAACTAGGTAATATTACTAGGTCAATGCAACTAATTCTTTCCATTGAAAACTTAATTTAGCGTATTTCTTTAAAAATGAAGTGTTCCTATGAACCCCTGCTCTTTGCTGTAATTTATAGGTTGTAATCATCATGTTTGTCACTGTATGTTATGAAACTACACTTAACTTTAAGATAAAGGTCACATAAACATTCAAACCGATTAATTTAATAGGTTTTCCTCCAAATCTGACTGTGCAAGTTATGTCTTGGCATTAAGTGCCTTATATACAGTCATTACCTCCAGAGAATTGTTTTCACACTTGAAAGAAGTTCTACAAAGTTATTTTTTCCCCTTTATTTAAAATAAGTTACCCACTTACCATGTACTTACTGACTGCATTATACATAGGCACGTATGTCCAAAAAGAATGCCTTCAATAACTATCAGAACCCACATCAGTGATAAAAAAAAAAAAAGTGGTATCTACTTACTTCCCAGGTATTTCTGCCAAGATAATGTATCATTTTCTCTTGAATCAGGGCAATTATTACTTACATTGCAATCCAAATATGATCACTTCTGTTCTACAATTCCACTGTTTGTGGTGAGAACAGTGGTACTATTAGTAAAATTTCACCCTTCCAGAATTTCCAATCAGTTTACTCAGATAAAATAAATTCACCTTATAGATAATATTTTCAACTTTATTATGTCTTGATCGAAGCATCAAAATAGGTAGTTTTATGACTTCCACTTCCAAAAATTGAAATCCCTGAAATTTGTCATTGGGTTTGGTATTAACATAACAGCTCTGACTCCGAGCATGTATGGAGATTTCATAATGCAGTATGTCAGTAATGCTGGTTTGCAATACTACTTTGCAGATGGAAGCTGGAAATCTGCATGAAATCTCACCTGTATGTCTTGTTTTCATTGATTTTCCTATACTTGCTACTTGGCCCATTACCAGTAACAGCAACTTAAAGTACACAACTAGGCCTGCCTGAGTCATGTCAACTCCTTTGTTTCACTAAAAAGGTGTTCTGCTTTGATAGTCACTTTGTTCTGGACCTGAAATTAAAACAAACCAACAAGCGGAGGGGGAAAAAATAAACTGTCCCTTCAAATGCACTGTAAGAAATGTACCAGTACTAACATTTTAGAAAGAAGGAGCTCATTCTCCTGTAATTATTGTAAAACCATCATTTCCTGTATGTACACAGTAAGTCATTGGGGAAAGGAAAATTTACACATGCTTCATCATGTTTTAATCAAGAGCAATAAAGAGCTGAAGGACAATTAGAATTGGTTATCTCAACGAATTTTCAAAAGAGGCTAACAATCTCATTAATCCAGTTTTATCAAGCAGTATTTAACAATTTTCAGTCAGTCATTTTAACTGTCCTCATTTATTACTGACAATATTTAGACTTTTTCCCCAAAATGTTGATACTTTCACACACTGACAATTTCTGCACTACAAAATATTACAATTTCTGCACTACAAAATATTTTAGGGCCTTCTTTGTATTCAACATTTCTTTTACAATATTGCAATTTCTTTTTGTAAACACTGAGTGTTCCACTATCATCGGGAGTGTTCTAAAGTTACTTTTCTCATTGCCTCTTCGACAGTCGATTAATAAACCACTAGATGGAGTTGTGCTCAATATTAAAAATGGCATGAGCTGATCTAATATAGAAATTAAGTAGCCAAGGATTGTCAAACTTAACAATGACTGTTCTGTACTTAATAGTTGTTTTCATTGTAGGCAATTCCAACTGAAAGACAATTGCTTTTTATAATTACAACAGCATAATCTCTCCTGAGCATCTTTTAAAAAGTATAGGGACTATATTTGGAAACACTCACTTCCAGGCATACTAATTATCTGCCCCTGTTCATGACTACAGCAGGAACAATCGATAACTATTATGTTACATTTTGTTTATGAAAAATGGCCTATCTTTTTATAACACATTTTAACCTTTAATCTGTGAGTTTCAATCTAAAACACAGAATTTGGGCCCAAGATTTACAGCCAGTCAACTAGACACACAAATTCTAAAGTATTTTTAAGTAAGTAAAATTTTAACTATCAATGTTTTCTTATAGTTAACTCATTCAACATTGCCCATAAAACCTCTCAAGTCCAACAAAGTACACATTTCTTTGATATGCCGTAGACTCAATACGTGTCACTTATTTTTGAAGTAAGCTGCAATGAAGGTATTTTCTCCTAGAGGATTATCAGAAGATAATGTCTGTGTCATGTAACTCATTAACACATCAGGGTCTGGATGTTTTAATTTTCAACATCATTGTGCTTTTTGAACATTACTACTTCATCTCAGCTCCAGCCCCTGAGAAATCCCCACCATTGACTCACCTGTGCACCATCACTGTAGTCCCTTGTCCTCTTCCCACCATTTTTCCTATCCTGCTCCCTTCTCTCTCCCCTACAAATTGACTTCGAGTTCAAATCTATCACCATAGAGGAGGTCTATTCTGTCTCTTGACTGCTGTGACAATGATACCAGAAGGAGTATTTTCTCGGACACAACACAAAAATTGGAAAACAGCAGTACCATGGAAATGGTAGGCAGCTATTGTTACCCCAGTCAGTACCAATCAGGGTCAAAATGTGAACACCTGCCCCTTTGGCTACTCCAAGGACTTTGTGGAGAATGAGAAACATGACTAACTCAAGCTAACCTCTTGGGACCCTGTTACATTCCACAGAGCAGATATGCTACACCTTTAGAACTTCTTACAGTGTTAAATTGAGACTTTTAGCAAAGTTTTAGGCTTACTATGTAAAAATAATATCAAATAAGCCAGTATTATATATATGCCCTTTAAGATTTTTTAAATTTTATGGGAACTTTGTTAATGGTAAGTGTTAGTGAGGAAAGTGGTTATGAGCCTATCTCCAAATGTAGATGTATTTTCTTTGAAGTTCTTGGGTGACATAACTACAGACTTATTTTAAGTAATAATTAGCCATTACCTTGCTGTTGCCTTGCTAGAAAATGTTATTAGACTGTAACCCAAAAAGGCCAGATCTTTCCTAGCCAGAATACCAACTATTACAGTATTTTATTTCAAAATGCATTAATATATGCACCATTTAACACATTTTATTGCTTTTTGAAGATCCCACCTTCTCTAAAAAAACTAAAAACATTAACTATGCTTGTTAGACACATCATACTTGGAGAGGTCATACTATCTTAACAAGCAACTCTTAGGGCAGTATCATTATGAATGATATTATTACCTGGATTCCACTCCCCCCCATAAAGAATAGAAAGATTAAATGGAATTAAGAATTCTTAATTAACATTAAAACTCTTAAATCCTTACAAGGGTGCCAATGCCATGGTTTGAGTGTGTTAAACTGAAGGAATGTACCAATGTGTTGATTTCTGATATGGTAATCTATGTGTCAGACTCATTTATCAATGGAGTACTGGTGTCTTGGACTGAATAATTTATTTTCTCCCAGATTTATCCATTTGTGATTTAGAATGCCTCTCACATTCATTTTAGACAATTTCAAATCTTAGTATATATGGCCACAACATTCAAAGTATATCACATCAACACAATCAGGAAACTAAAGTGGTAATTTTTTCAATTACTCGACCTACAAAATTCAAAGTCTCCAATCAAATGCACTTGCTTCTAGCCTGAAACAGGCAAAGAGGAAGTCAATTTTTCTATTTTATAGTGTATATTCAAACCAATGAAATGAAAACAATCTTTCTGCATTTCTAGAATATAAATATGAGCTTTACATTAATTGCTCTGATGAGATACATCATACTTACCAACATTAAGCTATTTTTCTCATTTTTTCAAATTAATACTTAATCAGACCTGTGATTCTCTAAGTGCAAAGTAGCAACTGACCCTTTTTTTTTTTTTTTTAAGATTTATTTGTGCATACAGAACTGGGGTACAGGCCAGAGGCTCAGGGGCGGTGAGAGGCTTCACCAGAGACAGAGTGGGGAACAGAACAGGCAGATCGAGGAAGTGCACTGCTGAGGGGAGCAGCGGGCGGGTCAGGAGAGGTCTGCCTCACCACGTGGTCACTTCCGGGGCAGGGGGGAATTGAACTCATGCAGAAGCAGCTTTACATTCTCAGTGCTGTGCTTTAACCCGCTGCGCCACCAGGGAGGGCCACAGCTGACCCTTTTAACATCTTGTGTTTGCAGTGTTTCAAACCAAATCATTGTGCCCTGCTGTAAGAACCTACCCATCACTTACAGAGCACTCACTGCACACCTGCTAATACAGTTCTGCAGAAATGCCTATGGACAAAGTAATTATCTTAAAAATTTGACATTCAAATCTAACTGAAACTCCCTTAAACATGGCCATCATGCCTCAAGAGTAGTCTATTTGAGTACAGACAAGAACAAGTACTACAAGAAACAAGAGGCACCTTGGCCTGCTGCACAGACATTGGCATTGCTGTAACTGTGGTGTGGTAGAGGACAGAGATGCACATGTGAGGAGTGCTGTGTCAAGCGGCCAGGCTCTGGCCTACTGTCGAGTCTACATGTGTGTCTTTGTAGCATTTAGATTCTGCTGTAGCAGTAAAGGAGGAAGCAAAAATTCCATCTGTAGTTGTAAGGAGAGTGGAAGTGGCAATTTTAAAAGGTTAAGAGTAGAAATCAACAAGGCGACTTAGTCTCTAGTTGTCCAGAGTGAAAAAAATTATT